CGACTGTGCTGTGTTCTGTTGTAAAGCACGCAGGAAGCGGTAGAGCACGAAAGAAGTGCAGGGGAAAACACGAGACGTAGTCGAGCGTTTTTCCTACTTTTTGAGTGCTCTACCGCTTCCTAAGTGCTTTACAACAGAACAGAGCACAGTCGAGGCTTCTTTATTTGTTTTATGATGAAGAATCCATTTATTTCACCGAGCGTTTGATGAATTTTCAAGTCAAACTTTATTTTCCAAACGAAGAAAAGTGGCGTCAGCATGCATCTGTTCTTTAATAAAGCACGCTTAAATAAGCCAATCACAATCCTTGTTGGATCGCTCAAATCTGATTGGCTAAAGAGACGACAGCTGTCAATCACAAACTGGAGTTCAGCTAAGCTTCCAGTTTTGAGTGGCTTGGCCTAGTGGCTTTCGAGAGAAGAACGTTTGCTTCAAAGTTCACTTTTTAGTTTGATTTAAAAATATGGATCTAAAAGTACGTTTCTTAGTCCAGAGGAATCCGGTTGCATTGAGGCTCATGAAAACGTGCTCTTTTCCAGTGGAAATTGCGAAACAAAGCACCCAAAACTTGCGGATGAAAATGCGATTAATTCTGAATTGTATAATTTTAGTACATTTTTAACACTACTGTTGTTACCAATGGTCTCCGAGCAGCCATATTTACTGCAGACAAATAGTTCGTTTCTATTGGGTTTGTCTGAATCACAGGGGATGTTTAATTTGTGTCAAATTTGTCAAAATTCCGAAGCAAAAATTTGAAAGCCAGCTTACCGTCATCAACCCGTGCTCTGTTCTCTGATAAAGCACGCTGTTTTAGCCAATCAGAGCGCACGTTATATGGAAACTTTATTATAAAATGCAATAAACAATTTTTGGATGAGGTTTTTGTGATATCTGGAATAATCAAAGTTGAGGTAAGTGTTATCAGCCGAAGAAGGCTGAGGCTGATAACACTAACCGAGACCTTGATTATTTCGGATAGCAGATTAGTGAATTATCTGTAGGTTGCGCTGTTTCCCAGAATTAATTATAGGCTTTTAGCCAATGAGAAGACGGATGGCGGCTACAATACATAATAATACGATTAATTATCCTACCTACTATACTAATACTTACACTACTCTCAATGTAATTACGATTACTGATGCTACTTACAGATAATTTAAATATAGCTTTACCTTCAGCTTGACAGTACAGATTGCTAAATGATGTATTCGTAATTTTGCAGCAATTCCAAGGCAACTTTGACAGGTATTCAGTCCGCACGCACGCCTTCAGGCCAGCTCTGTATGCTCGATACGTTCGCATTCAACCAAGAGGCTGGAGGTCGCATATTTCCATGAGGGTCGAGTTGTATGGATGTCCTTGGAGTAAGTGAATGTCTCAACAGTTTTTTTAAAAAGAGTCAGAACTAACAGAGGGAAAGAAAAATGTCCAAAAATCTTTGTATTTCTTCGAAATTTCTGCTAGAAAAGGAATTGACTATCCCCAGGAAGTAATGCAAACTTTCAAACTGTTAGAGAAATTTGGGAGTTCTATTGCAAATGGGGAGATGGAGGTACTTGGACACCACTTTTTTCTACACAATAAATGTTGTTTTTTAATTCCATGGTTCACATAACTTTTAATTACGATTTTCTGAGAAAATTTTCTTTGAGAAAAGTTAATGGCCAGAGACAAAATTGTCTTTCCTCTCGCTTGAGAAACGATGTTGTCTTATTTATCCTTTCACTTAAAGTTTCGTTTTCACTTACTGCAAAGGTGAAATTCCCTTTTTTAGCCTTATATAAACTATAGCCTCCATGTGGGGCGAAAATATGCTCGGATGTTTGTCTGCAAACATTATCTGTTCCGAGAAGAGAACAGTTTTCCGAGAGCTTGGCTCGACGAAAACTGTGAGTTTTAGGGAACAGATAATGTCCAAGAACAAATATCTGAACAAATATTTTCATGCCAAATGGTGGCTATTGTGTTTATTATCCTTCAAATACTTGTTGCAACACGCGCAGTTTTGAAAATTGGCGAATATCACTCGGATATTCACAAGTTTTAGCTGGGGAATATTCAGTCACGTGCCTCGTTTAGACCAATCACGTGCGAATCTTTTTAATGGAATATAATGATTAATATTTTTCAGATCACTGTGACATGCCGCTTGGTCTCGAAGACGGCCGTGTTCCAGACCCCGTCATGACCGCCTCCTCTTACAACAACATTTACGACGCGCCGTGGAACGCTCGACTTAACAGAAGGCGCTACAGCCGTTTCGGAGGAGGTTGGTCTCCAAGAAGGAACGACAGAATCCGGTTTCTGCAGATAGACTTCCAAGCGATGACTAAGGCGACACGTGTCGCCACGCAGGGAATGCACAATGCTAATTACTGGGTAACGAAATATTACATCAAGTATGGAAAAAATAAAGGCAGAATGGTTCCTTACCGTGAGGGAAGATCAACAAAGGTACGGTTATCATTGGCACTATTAAGAGTCAGTTTTCAACCAGTAATAGTCTTGCTTTGACTGACACTACTGACTAGGATGTGCAAGATCAATAGGCCATTTTCGAGTTACCTTGTGCCTCTGTTTCAAAACGAATCTTCATGCAAAACCTTTCTTAAGAAAATAAGTTTGATTTGCATGATGTGAACCTGTATGCGGAACTCACTTTTATATGAATGGTTTCGAACGGGGACTCGTTTTAAACAGAGGCAAAAGGCAACTCGGAAATGGCTCATTGCTATCAGTTCTCATATCTTAACTCGAGGAAAGGCGAACGAGGCGAGTGCGATGTGCGACGAAGTGGGCTTTGGCGTAACTGGTGAAAGAACCAATGTCCTTCGCCCTTTTCGCACGAGGTTAATGATCTTTGAAAAAAAGAGCTATTAGTACGTTTGCCTTATTTAATTCAAATTATCCTTAAAATTGATATATTAGGGCAATTAAACGAAATCAACTTCAATCGGTTTATTGGTTGAAATGGTTGTTTCAAGTGGAAGAAATGTGAGATTTACGTATATGTACGAATCGTGCTTGCAGATATTCTCAGGAAATTACGACAGATATATTATCGTTCAGCACAAGTTTGTCAAACCTCTGTATGGAAGATACTTTAGAGTTTACCCTGTGGCCTGGTATTCCTGGATAGGCCTGAGAGTTGAATTCTACGGATGTGTCTATGGTAAGAATTTCATTCATAACCTGGTGTTGCCTTTACATTGAATCATTCACAGTACAGTATTGTAATCTCATAACACATCTCATAACATATCTCATAACACTGCCAGTGTTCTGGCTAGGTTTTGTTGCCCTTTTTGTATCGCACGTGATGTACCTGTATTTTATACCATGCCATAGAAAATACAGCCAATCAGAGTACAGGAAAGCCGTTGTATATTCGACGGTATTACATCCAACCTTCCCATCATGCGCCGCGCGTATGACGCACTGATTGTTTTGTCTACTATATTTCCTATGGCATGGTATAAAATAGTTATGCAATGCTCTCTGGTATACCATCGAACATTCTCCTGTCACTTTTATTGTTTTGGTATACAAGTGGCTTGTGGGATATGGTATACCACTTGAAAGCGTTGCATTAACTAGTATATATTTGAGAAAACACTATATTTTGAAGATACGAACCTATGTGAAGGGTGCTTAACTGGGAAATTTCAGCCTAACAGTTTCTAAAATCTTAGGTTCTTATACACGAGCTTTTACTGTACTTTAAGTGTATACTACTCTAACACTTCTTTAAAACGTAGGAAAACGTTGTAACCAGCCTCTTGGAATGCAAAACGGTCGAATAAAAGGACGGCAGTTATCAGCCTCCTCGAGCTGGGACGGAAATCACGGTCCATCCAATGCCAGACTTCACTGGCGACGGCGAGGACCGCGCATAGGAGCCTGGTCCGCGCGTCATAACACTCGTTACCAGTGGCTTCAGGTTGATTTTATCCACGCCATGCGAGTCGTGAAGATCGCTACTCAGGGACGACAAGACGCCGCACAATGGGTGACTCAGTATTATCTTACCTACAGTCAAGATGGAGCGCATTTCGCCGAGTTTAAAAAGAATAGCAATCGAAAAGTGAGTATTTGGCTCCTGTTCGTTTTAATGCATATGCAATCTTATCGCAAAAAAGTTGACTGCGTACCTGTTTTTATTAAAAAGGTCTGCAACGCATACATTTATCTGCACCTCATGGTAATATAGCACGTTAACCTGACATTTTTTTCATCTAGAAGACATTATCTGATTCCTCTTTGTATCGTATTTATCTTTGTGTTCGTCACAGTACCTTACAGGTAACAGAGACCAAAACAGCGTTGTACAGCACCGATTGTTCCCGCAGATCAAAGCCCGCTACATTCGTGTCTGTCCTTGGGGCTGGCACCGACACATTTCCATGAGGGTGGAGTTTTATGGTTGTTCTGCAGGTATGTATTTAAATCTTCATCTGAGAGATCGTTTTTGTGCCATCTTAAACTAAGGACTCATCCACCGTTTAGTATCTACCAAGTGATGGTTTTCATGATAGGGGAGGGGGGGGGGGGG